TGGGGGTTTGGGGGGTTCTGAGAGGAATCCTGGGGTTTCTGAGGGGAGTCCTGGGGATTTTGGGGTTCTGAGGGGAATCACAGGGGTTTGGGGGGCTCTGAGGTAAATCTCGGGGTTTTTAGGGTACTGGGTGGATGTCAGGGGTTTTAGGGTGGCTGGCAATGGTTCAGAGCAGACAAGAGGTCTGACTCCTTCCCTCAGGGAGGTGTGGGTCTGGTCTTTAGTGAAAGCTGCTGGTAGGTTGGTTTGCAACCTCCCGTTTTAAAAAGAAAAAGTCTTAATTTTTATATTCACTGAGCTGCTGCTGTCTAGTCATCTCTAAAGAAGTCAGAAGGGGATAATGCAGAGCTGTGTTTAAAACGCTCGTACTGGTGTTGACATTGTAAATCTCCCAGATTCACCAGCCATCAAGGTGAAAGATGGAATTAAATAGGAAGGGAGGCCTGAGCCATAAGCGAGGATTAAGTCTCGTTGTTCTAGAGCGCATTCAGAGACCCAGCGGACCTCTGAACCTGCTCTAGAAATAGTTCTCACCAAGGTATCCTCTGTGAAAGCAAATAAGGCCAATGTATGCCCTGTGTCCACACAAGCCTTACTGAACAGGGACCTTCAGGTGTTCCTAACTTCTTTTCTTCCTTTTTGAAGGTAATTCGAGTGACAGGTTTTATGAAAGGACTTTACACGGATTTCGAATTGAAATCAGATAACATTAAGGTGGGTATGAAACTTATTTATTTAGCTGTAATATTAGTATTCTTTGAAACTTGCCACAAAGTACTTTTGATCTTTTCTGCTTTCACTGTCAAGGACTTGTCCTTGGTTTTGTGAAAAAACTGCAAAAGCTATTGCCTGTTGGGTATGGTACGCAGGAAGTGAACACCTATGGATTGCATTTGTGGATGTGACACAAGCTGTTGTGTGTAAAGAACCGTTTCTGTAAAGATTGCAAAACAGTGAGGTTTTATCTGCGACCAGCTCTATGTTTCCAAAATACTGTTGTGTTACAGATGAAAAGAATCATTACATAGCAAGGTTGCCTTGAAGTAGTTAGGCATTGATAATAAATCACAAACACTAGAAATCCACACCACTTTTTAAAGAATCTTGTGGTCTCTCAATGGAATATGTGGTTTTATATTTATTGCTTTACGTGTGTGTGTGTGTGTATACACGCATATATATACATACACTGTGTACAGATACGCAGTAAGTATTCTTGCTTAATCCCAGGATTTGCCAAGGCATATAGCTGATTGGTGAAAGAGGAGGTTAATGTTATGGCTTGAAAAATGCTTTTCTTAACTACAGGGGTGACTTTAGTCTCTGTTTGCTGCTCTTCTGTTGTCTGTTTCTTTGCTGAGCTGATGCTGCCTCAACTGCCGACTTGATTGGGAACTTTGATGGCTTATTCATGGCAAGTGACGCAGTGTTTCTGTGTTGCTAGCTAGGCAGCTACATCCATTGGTGATTGTTTAACATAGCAACTGAAAGGAGGAGGTCTGTGAGCCTGGCTTGTCATTCCTACAGCCAGTTGCAGTATGCACTTCTTGTGGCTAATTATTGATCCAATATATGCATTTATTTCTGTGACTGTTCTTATTGTTGTTGGGATAACAAAAATCTAAGGATTGAGTGTTTCTATTGGTACTGTCCCTGTTGAAGCTTGTTGATAGTTTCTGTGATGAAGAGAAGCTTAGCACATGCAGCTTCTTCTTTGGAGAGCACTGTGCATTTGATTTGTGGATTGAAAAAGCAGATTTCCTAGCAACTCCCGAGTGCATCTTTGTATCTACATACTGCGCTAGCTGTGAAGTTGTACTAATCTTGAGTACCTCTCTGAGAATTTATTTCACAGTCCATGAGCTGATGGTTTCCAAGAGTTCAGGCAGAGGAGATCAAAATGCTGGAGTGTGGGGGAAGCATCTCTAGCTTGTTTTCCTCTCTTCAAAGCACTGCTCAGGAGAAAGACGTGGCTCTCCCAGGATGCTTCCTTACTGTGATTTCTGTCTCATTCAGTCTAGTAAAAGAACTCTTATAAATGGAAAGATTGGATGTTAGGCTTGCTGTTTTAATCTTCCACATCAGCTTTTTATATATATATACACACAAAAAAATCTTTATATGTAAAGCATCTTACCACTTGGAATAGTGGAGATACCTTTGTTTGAAAGCTGCCCAGCAAAAAATATTTACTTGAGTTCTCAGCACTGTTTCAGATATTTGTTTTTTTTTTTGACATAACTTTATTTCCTGATGCAGGTAGGAGCTATAGATTTCTTGTTGGGTTCTTGAGGATTTCTTACATGGACATAATGCAGTGGTAACGTAACTGCTGAAAATGATAAGGATGTAGGAGAAAATTTTGTATCTTTCTTGGAAAACTTGCTTGGTTTACAATAGTGTCCTGTCTCCTTCCCTAAATTAATAGATTGCATATGTCCTTAGAAGGATGGACAACAATTGTAATAGAAGGTCAAGGTATTTCCTTCCTTTCTTTTTTATTTTTGAATGCAGGGAGCACTGGTGAGGGTGAAGCGTGCCTGATGATAATGGGGACAATCTGAAAATCCCAGCTATGTGGTACTTGTTTGTTTTAATCCTTTTGGAAGAGTCAAAGATGGGAAGTACCCTGACTCTGGAGGTTGTCTTCCCATGCGTTTAACTCTCATTTATGTGCTTGCAGCAGAACCCAGTTCTTGTCTATGGAGAGTGGCTCAGGGACTTGAGATAACACGTGAGCAGCTCTCTTAGGCTCCAGTGCCACAGGAATAGATGGTGCTGCCAGGAAGAGTGTTGGGCTTGCTCAGCTGAGGACATACAGCCTTCTGTTGCTTTCCTTTGTCAAATTAGATCCAGGTCATTTTGGATCTCTGCACACCTGAGATACTCAGACAGTAAGCACAGTGCAAAAGCGGGTGTTTTACTGGATAATCACAACTCTTCCTTTTCTGAATTGACTGAAATGGCAGTGGCCCGATTTTCAGTTATCAGTGTGAATGCTGTAGTTTATATTTTTTTGAACTGATGCCTATTATACACATAGAGAATTCTTCTCACATGGCTTTACTTTTTAACAGGCTAGTAAAATTCTTTCTTCATCTCCACTCATGAGTGTAAAGGATGAGTGAGTAGACTTCTGTGCTGGTAAATATTCCTTGAATTTTATTATGTTTTATTAATAAAAACCTTTCTTCCCCCACTGAGTATCTGCAGCTGCAGAGATTTCACACCATGATTTCATTCTTTGGGCCACCAACCCTCCAATAAATTTTTACTTGATGAGGGTTTGTTTATTTTGTCTTGTGTTTTTTCTTATGATTTTGCATAATCACTAAAGTCATCATCTCTACTGAAGGACACTTGGGGAAAGTTGTTTGCAAAAATATAATTACAACACTAAAACACATCTGGTAATTGTAGAGATAAAAATATGTGCCTGTATCCCTTTCTCACCATCTTTCATATGTTTTCTTTACTCAGTGTTAAGTCTGGTTTGTAAAGTATGTGTACAAGCATGTAAATCCCTCACTTTTGATTCATATTAGTCGTCTAGCTTTGAGACTCCTGTCCTTCTGCGCAATATCTGCTGTAACAGTCCTGTTATAACTCTTTAGGGATTCTTGTGGTAATGCTTACAATCATTTCTTAAACAAAACTTTGTCTTCTTGAATGTGTGATGCTTGAAAATGGAGTGCCAAGGGTCTTACAGCAGTCTTAAAATGCACTGGAGCTATGTCATGAACGTATTAAAAAGACAAAGTTATACTTTCTCTTTGGTCATTCTAGTTCAATGTTTACCCATTAGCAAACCTGTCATTTCTTAATCAGAAATAGCTAACTATAAATCAGGGGTTTTCCTGACCTTACAGACCACGGGCTGCTCTTGTTGTATGGGTGCTTTCTGCAACTTTTCCTCCCATCAGAGTTTTTTCTAGTCTTTAGGTGGTGTGCAGAATTGTGGAGTCTCCAGCTAATTCCTTGATTGCTCTTTTACCAGGATAAAGATGCCAAAATCAACTTCCTTCAGAAGGCGATTGATGCTGTTGTGATGGTAACAGGAGAGCCGCTGTCAGTAAAACCAGCACGTGTTGTGGCTGGACACGAACCTGAAAAAACCAACGAATTTCTTCAAGCAATTGGGAAGTGTTGCTTAAATAAGGTATGACATCACTATATATATATTATCAGAGCTTATTTGTAGCAGACTCTGTTGACACTATCTGCTATTTTTAATTGCACAAGATCAACATTGGGTCACCACTTAACAATAATAATAACAGCAGATAGGTAGTAAAAGGTCCTTAGCAGAGTTTGAGCCAGGTCCCCATGCAAATACGTTCTGGATATTTTAGTGCTTTTAATGTACACCTTTTTTTACTTTTCACCTTATCGATTGGTCATTTAATAACATTTACAAGGTTTGTAGAACAATAAGAAGCTTCAGAACTTTTAAAACTTTGGGATGCAGATGCATTAATTATCTGACCAGCTGCTGCCAGGTTTGACCTTATCTCCTTTAAAATTTCAGTCAAATTGCTGATTTTGTAATGCAAGTAATTTTCCAAATGTGCTGCTTTTTTAAAAAAAACTTTTTTGAATATGTAAATGCAGCAAAAGAGAAATTTGATAGTCTGTTCAAAATAACTGTGGGGCAGTTCTTAAAATGTTGCATTAAAAGTAATGGGTATCCTTTGCTTATAGGTGTTACAGAGATTTTTTGAAATACAAAGGTATTATCTAAACACCTTGAATTAATGAGTGTGAAGAAACTGTGTATAATTAACTGAAATACTACAGTGTTTACAAGCTGTCTGCAAGATTATCTTTGTGTGATAATCTACTCATTCAAATCTACGTTATTTTATTTTAATTAGCTGAGTGCTATGAGCTTCTTCCTTATGAATTGCTTCAGATCAGGGAGGGGGAAGTTGATAAACATATGCACAGAGACTGGACGGGTTTGAAAATGCGCTTGATGGGACAGCTTTGTGGAATGTTGTGATGACATTTGAGCTGAGATAATTAGCCCCTTGGCTTCTCTTGAGAAACATAAGCTTGATGTGCATTGGGAAAAATATTTCCTTTGGTCTCTAGCTTGATACTTTTAGTGCTGAGCTGAGCATGTTGCTTGGAGTTACTTAGTTCAGGCAAGTGTTGCTGATGTGCAGAAGTTGGTGTCCAAATGTGAAAAACCACAAAAATTCATAGTTTTGCATTTACAAACCAGGAGAGAATCAGGAGTCAGCCCCCAAGGCAATATCAGTTTTAGTGATCTAAAAGCTGTTGCTGTTTCAGGAAGAATTCCCCAGCAATGTGATTTTTTTTTTTTGTTAATGTAGTCAACCTCTTTGCCACTTGGACATGAAAACATGATGTTAACATGCTGTCTAAATGATCTAATTAACTAATGAACTAGATGCAGACTTTTTTAAACACTGGAACTGCAGTTCATTGAAAACCGTTCTTAATGTAGTTTTCTTTTTCTTTAGTTGCTGATTGAGCAAGTACTAGGTGAAAGTGGAGTGGCCTAAGGGTGTTTAACCAATCTAGCCATTGTTGTGTAGGGATTTGACAGTCATTTACCTTGCCATTTTGAAAACTATTCAGGTTGTTGCAATGAGGATTGATACTGTGCTATAATACATAAAAAGCACCACGTATTTATCCAGCTCTGGCACATATAATAAAATTATTGCAGGAATAACAAGGAGGTGTTTGGCATAAAGGAGCATTATTACTCCTGTGAAGAATGTGTCCAAAAGAGCAGAAATATAAGCTTTATTTAACACCCTACCCTCCCCACCCAAAAGAAAACCCACAAAAAACCAAAAAAACCCAGGTCATGTTGATTACAGAGACAGGAAGAAAGGTGATATTAAATAAAAGAATTTACTAATTTCAATTATATTTTTCTATTCCTTGCAGCTGTCCAGTGATGTTGCTGTAAAAAGGATATTAGCCGGAGAGAGAGCTGATGCTAAAGGGAAACCACCATCCTCTAAATCTCAAGATAAAGAAAGCAGAGAATTCAAAACAGAAGTTCAAAAAAGCCATAAAGAGGTAGGCATTTACAACTTTTGTGGGGTACAGGGGCTACCACTCTTTACAGTTTGTTGGGGTTGTTTTAGGTTTTTTTTAGCTTTAATTTTTGTGTGTGGAAAGAACTGCATGATAGAGTTGCCATGTATTGGAATTAATTTTTAGTTTTCACTTTCTTTTTAGGGTAGAGGAGACACTGAAATTAAAGACAGAAGCTCAAGCAAAGACAGAAAACCCAAAGGAGATTTGAAAGAGATCAAAGAAAGAGAAAAGGAAAGTGATAAACAGAAGGATAATGAAGACAGGCACAAAGACCCTGAAAGAGACAACCTTAAGGAAGGAGAAAAACAAGAAAGGGAAAGAAACAAAAGCAGAACAACCAAGCAAGGAAGAGAAACAGAAAAAAACAAGGGAAAAGGAGAAGATAATATCGAGCGTGATAAAGGACAAGAAAGAGAGAAAAAAAATGAAGGAGGAAGAGAAAAGGAGAGGCTAAAAGGAAGGGACAAAGATAAGGCTAGGGACAGAGAACGAGAGAAAGACAGAGATAGAGGAAAGGATCGGGAAAGGGATAGACAGAGGCACAGAGAAAAAGATGGAGAGCATTTGAGAGAACATGGAAAGGATAAAGAAGAGAAGAAGGTAATTGAAATCTCATGGCAGAGAACAATAACTTTTGGCATGCTGTGGTAGGGACTGAACCTTTGCTATGATGGCCTTGCATGTTTGTATTCTCTGCTCATTTAAGTACTTTTTTTAACAGCAATTACTCTCATGAAGTGAGAGAAGGAGTAAGTGTCGGTATGGATTTGATCTGGTAAGAGCGTGACTAAGGCTGTGTGTGTAACTTCATCTCTCTATCATGACGTATCTTGACTTAAGCCATGAGATTCATCTGACTGTGCTCCCTGAACATCTAATAAGTAGTTTCTTTTCTGAACTCTGCATGTCTGAATTCTTCCTGCTCACATTACATTAGACAGAGAGGGGTGGCAGTGACATGTGCTCCTCACATGTCTTCCCAGTAATGGATGCTGTTGTTGCAGCCATAGCCAGCTTTTGGGGGAAGCTGGGGCTGAAGAGAGTTCCTTTGGGTTATAACTAGTCATTAATATCTCTCTTGAGTTTACTTCTTCTGTAGCAGGACACACAGGATGGAGCTGTACATCTGTACAGATCTGGAACGCATCCACCATTTTCCCATACTTTAGACCTTTTCAGTGTAAAGTCCTAAATGGCCTTAAGAGCCATCTCTCCATTGCCTTTCATTTTGTTGTTCTTTTTATCTTCTCTCATCCTCCTCTGAATAGTTCCTAGACTCCTTTTCTGTTCTGTTGTGTGCTGGTTCACAGTAGAAATTTGGGATTAATGGGCATCAAAAGTGCTTCTGTTAGGGGGTAGTTTAATTGTGTTGGATGTGAGAGAGTCCTTCTGTCAGTACCTGTCAGCTGGCCTTAAGGATTCTTACCTTCCTGATATTACTCAGTTTAACTGTCAGTTTTGCTTGGTTAGTCTCTTCCACGGGGGAGGCCAGGTAAAGAGAGCAGGGAGATGGATAAGAATCCCATTGTAATGTGCTCAGTTCTGCTCTATGCTCGTCTCCCCTTTCACATTATTCAGGTAAGTAGCTTGCTTCTTAGCACACTGAATCTAAAGCAATGAATTTCTTTTCAGTCTGCAGATTCTCAGGAATCCACGCTTAGAAGAACACAGAGGCCCACTAAAGACAACAGTCGCCAGCCAGATAACGAGGTTAGTAGTATAGAAGATCTGGGAAGGTGAATATTAAAAGTGTCGCATTTTAGAATGATTTGGGAGTCTGCAGAAAAGGAACGTAGGGTTGAAAGGTAGGTAGATGACCAGTTTTAGGGCTGTAAAATAGATGCTTCTCTGTGTGTGTGGTTTATTTATTATTATTTTTTTAATGTTTAATTTCTCTGAGTCTGGACAGAGAAGTCTACTTGGTTCACTTCATTTTTTGGATTTTATTTCTGTGTATTGATATGTTTGGTACTTCAGAAAAAAATACTTATTGGTTCATTGTTTTCTGTTTATTCCTCTGAATCTTTCCTGCAAAGCTGTTAGGTTTTTTGTTTGTTTGTTTGTTTTGTACTTTAACAGAAGTTACTGTTTTGGAAAGAAAATTAGTTCAGTGTTGTGCCTGGGCCTGTGTTTTACAGCTGGATGATGGTAGAGCAGAATAGCAACTCACTGGTTGCCTCTGAACAGTAGCTGTTGCTTGTGATACTGTTGTGTCTGCATCTGCTGCTTCTTGATGACCTGAGGCAATTTGGGGAATCATGAAGCCATATGGCTAAATGTTTAAAGAGTGAGACTTCAATAAATTAACCTAAAGCAGCTCAGGCTAGGAAAAAATAGGCAGGATCCCAAGTCTAGCAGGAGTCTCTGTTCAGAGTCTACAGGCCACTGACATCATTGTGTCTTCTAGATGAGATGACAAATTTATAGCAATTCTTTGACTGAAATCCAACCAAACTTTTAAAATTATTGGCACTTGGAGGGAGAGCTTATAAAATAGTTTTTAGCCTGAAGCAAACATTCATGGCCAAGTTAAACTTCCTGCAAATTGGATCTCTAATGGAAATTCTGAGCCTCATCCCAAACTGTCGTAGTGCTCTTGGGCACCACAATAATACACTAGGGCGGTAAAGTTTCATTTCCCGTCTTAAGTGCTTTTGGGAGTGATTCCAAGGCATGCGGGTTTCTTACCTTAAATCTAGATGACATGCTTTTCCTCTGCTTGCTTGCGTAACAGTAGATGCTGCTTAGTTTTTAGGTGATGAAAACACCCACTTTAGACCAGAACATGACAAATGGTCATCTTCTTAAGGCTGTGGAAGAGAGGAATGAAATGAAAATGTTCCCAATTACTTTTTAGAGCTGGAGAGGAAGATAGCTGCACAAAGTGATTTAGAAGCAATTCCAGCATGAAATGAATTCTGATGGCCTGGGGTTGATCATCCTGTCCTCACAGTAGTTTCATGGCAGGGTGATGCCTTTATTTCCAGGGATTTACCCTGATGTAAACTACTGTAACTCCATTTAAGTCACATGGCAGTGAAACAAGTGTATTAAAAAGAAGGGAAACAGTTTATCTCTTTATGCACATGAAGAGTATTGACTCTGCTGCATAATTAATAAATCTTCAGTATCTGTCTTTAGCTTTTTGTAAGCAGAAGACAAGTGAACCAGTTTGAAGCAGCCCCTCTCAAGCAATGGCTGATATGCCAGTACCTAAGGTATCACCCACTCTTAATTAACCTCTTCTTTTCTGGTTTGTTCCTGTCATGCTCACTCACTCACGTACCCTGGCTTCTAGTCCTGCTCTCTTTATCCTCGCACTCCTAGCCACTCCTTCTCTTTCTTTCCAAGCCTAGTCTTACATGGCTTCGTGATGTTGTGAACTATTTGTCTTCCGCTTGATTTTCATCTTGCTTCCTCCATATTTGAGTTAGGCCCTTTCTTCAGACACGTTGCTTGGCAGCATAAGAACATGGAAACAGTGGGGGAAAAAGGAGTAGGGAAATGGGAACTTTTATTTCATTTGAGATGTCTGTGGAATTTCAGGCTGAATGGCTTCTATGCTGCATTTACTTTAGAGAACATTTACTTTAAATAATTTACTTTTTTTTTTTTTTCTTCCCTATTCTACATGTACAGCAAAGCTATCACTTAAAGCTTAGTTCCTGGCTTTGCTCCTGTGAGATTAGGAGTCTAAATAAGATTCTATCTGTATTCATGCAAGTCTTAGTTCTTCTTGCTGCTAATTATCAGAGGGCAGCTTTAAAATGGTACTTAAATTTGACATTTTTTTTTTTTAAATGTATTTATCTGGTACTAAAGAAACTCTGTACCTTACTCAGCATGTAATAGTCATCATACGTGTATCTATAATTTTCTGGAACTAAAAGAAAGCAAGCGTAAGTGGGAATTAAGACGAGACATTTGGCTAACACGTGTCAGTCAGAAGAAGACTACTTGCTGCTTCAAGGCTGGCTGTTGTATGCCAAACTGTGATCAGAGCGAGTTGACTTGTATTCTGTTAGCTCTCCGTCCATCTCAGGTGAAAGTCTAGTTTCAAACGAACGCTTCGTAGCATGACTGATTGACCTTCTAAATAATAAAGATAACTTTGTCTTTTGACAAAAGGTGCTTTTGAGGTCACAGAGCTTCAGAGCATATGGTGCTGTTTATCTGAAAGTGCCTGCAGAACAGGTATGTCGTTTACCCTGAGGCCAAACACATTGGAAAAGTCTCTTCCATTTTACAGATGGCTGCTGAAACTCTTGGCTAAAGCTTTTTGTAATATCCTGTCACTTTTGGCCATTTCTATAATGACTTTTATTTTTGCCCTGCAAACTCTATTGCTCTGGAACTAAGTCACTTCAATCAGCCTTTAAGTCATATCTAATGAACTTCTATTTCTGTTGGAACTCATATAAATTATATAACGAAACATCTACTGAATAAAAAAAAGACATAACTGCCCTAAAAGCAGCAGAGAGAATTGTTCCATGGAAATCTGCTGGACGTGGCTTAAATATTTTTGTTCCGATGCTGTGAATGACCCTCTCTTTTTGGTGTCAGTTATTTATAGCTGGCTCATGTAATAGAAATCCATTATTAAAACTTTTTAAAAAGTGGGATTTTTCTGATAGTTCTCTTTGCATTTGAAAGGCTTAATTAGCAGAAAGTAAGACCAATGGAACACCATCTTGCGAGTCTTCATTTGAGGAAAAGATAATTGATTGATATTTTCCTAATAAGTTGTATCACTGCAGCAGTCAGAGTGGCCTTAGCAAACAGAAGTCTTTCCTTGTTGCTGTTGCACATTAATGAATTATGCCTGTTAATAATGATAGCCGTTTTAGGAATAAATGTTGGGAATAAAGACAGTTTGAGGTAAAGTGCAGAAGTCTTTCCTCTTCTTGACCTGCTGAAACATTAGAAATCATTGTTTTCTTATGCCTCAAAGTAAAAGTCAACCTATTGAAAGTTTCATATTGAGGAGAAAGCAGCAGGCTGGACAATTTACAGCAGGCTGCTCTGTCCTCTCCAAATAGAAATGTGATTACTCAAAACTGGGAAGTGTGCATATATCCATCTAGGATTCCACTTTAATATGTTTTTTCCAGGTTGGTGTGAGATGAAGTGTAAGATTTCTTTTTAATGGCTCCAGTGACTGCTTTTCAAAGTCTTGGAGCCTATGAATTTGTAAGAAGAAGAATGACCTATTTTATCTCCCTTTGGAAAGACTCAGATCATAAATATTGTGGGATTTCTGGTTTTGTGTGCTACCATAGTGATTAAATTCTAGCTTTTACTTTGCACCTGTTGCCCGTGTGCACATGTGGCTCTACAAAAATGTTAAGCGGTGTTTGTAGTCACCTGACATAAATAAATGACTGAATCCACTCCTCCAGAAGCCTCAGCACCTATTCTCAACTCCTTCCCCACCTGTGCTAATAATTACATCACCCCCAAGAGCTGCCGAAGTTGAAGTGTACCAGATGTGGCCTGCGGGCCTGTAGAGCCAGACTCTGATGGTATGTAAGCTTTACTTTTGCTCCTTGTCGAGCGTTGTGATTATGAAAGATGGTAGTAATTAAGATGAACTAAGATTAAGATTAATCACTTCAGTATTAGCTATGCATTTGGGACTTCTGTTTTTCTTTATTATATGCCAGCATTTTCTAATGAGCAGAACAAAAGTATTGGTAGCTCTGGTTGCGGATCAAATAATAGCTGTTAGAATCCAGAGAAGAGAGTGCAAATGGAAACTGATTTATGTCAAAGCAGGAGCATGTACTGGCCATTCAGCTAGATTTTTGTGAAGGGTAGGATGTAGGACTTTCTTTTGGCATTGATCGAATACCTGAAGTCCTGAGCATGCATGTTATATTACAGTCACGGAGGTGAAGGAGATGTCGTTTCTATAGGACCCCAACTAACTGTTGAAGCTGACTCTTGCATAGACTATTCGATTTCCTATTAAGCACCTCCAAACACTTCAGCTTCTCAGTTTATCACCATTGCATATCATGATTATGTGTTGTTAATAGGCATTTCCCCTGTGTTTGTCAAGAACTTCTGTTGAGCTCGTGGTGCATTATAACATCCAAAAAAGCAACATTGGCCTCAAAGCAAACTTATCACCATGTTCTTGACGTGTCAGCTTCATTCCCCCCCTTCATGTAGCTGTGTCTCCAGGGCCAGTGGGTACACTGTTGGAAGCTTTTAGGGGTGGGATGTTTCTCCTGCATGGTCATCTGAAGTAGCTTGAGTAAAAATGCTTAGCAGTGTCCTGTATTTTTAAACATCTTGTAGTGTTATTTTCCATTACAACATGTATGGTCCATTGTCCTATATCCAAGATATTATGGAAAGTGAATGTTTTACATTGTGTAATTTGGCAATTTTCTGTTAGGTTGTTGGAAGGTATAATATTAACATTTGCATAGAAATGGAAGGATTTGTAATTCTCGTTTATGTTACCAAGATGGCCATTATCAGCAGGGCTGGCAATAGAGCTTGGATGCAAACTGCATGGCCTGTTAGTTCACACAAAGTACAGAAAAGCAGATAGGGAGGAAATCCTGTGAGGTGCTAAACATCTTTCAGGATTTTGGATAAGATGCAGAGACGTATTACAGGGAGAGAAAGCACAGTAACGTAAAAAGGTGTTCTATAATGCCTGTAGGCTCCATCCTCCAGTCTACACTGGAGTCTGCTCCTTCTGCTGGCCAAAACTGGTGTAAGGGGACAGGCTGCCTCCTTCCCAACCTCATCCCACACCCAGGAGTTTTGCTCGGCTGGCAGGAGTCCTACTTTACACCTTACACCTTCTCTGGAGGCGTGTGGGCCCTGACTGTGTTTATATCTGTAGTATACCCTACCTATAGTAGTGGCAGCTACTATCCAGAGAAAACAAAGTCATTCTTGTGTGTGCTTGCTTGCTTTCATTTCCTGGCCTCTCTGAATCACTTTTGGACTAATGTCAGAGTCCTCAGAAGTGTCCTGAATTTTCCTCCAGTTTGATCTTTTCCACTTTTGAACTCTTATCCTCCTTCCTAGACCAGTTGCACCTTCAGCTCATCCATTGCTCATTTGCTGGACTTTCTGGCAGGATCAATTTCTTAATTTCTCCCAGTGTCTTTGTCCAGGAAAGTTGCCATTTGAGTAAAGGACTGTGCAACTCTAGTGGCACAGATTTTTAGTGATTGCTTCTATTTTGGACTGATATTTAAAAGACTTCCCAGAAGATTAAAGAAGAAGCAGTGTATTTGATATAGCTAAAACATAGAGGTGATCATAAGCATCTTATTCCTTTTGGTAGCTGGCTGGTAGCTAAGCGCTGTGTCCCAAGACCAGCAGTGGCATCAGAAGATGTTCTACAGGTTTCACAAGATTGCTCTGCCTTGGATGCTCTTAGTTCATATTTGGAAGTTGTCTTTGTAATAATGAAATCCAATCATACAGGTTCATTTAAAAGAAAATAGCTAGCATGTATCCAGGAAAAATACCTGCAGACTTTGAGGAAAATTGACTTGACATATGCTTAATCTTATATATGTGCGTCAGTTCTGTAAGTGAATATTTTTTATGTGTAATACATATAGATAAAAAAGCAACACATGTAAGTACATTTTATAGATAAATGTATAATTTTTTAATATACATTTATATAAATTTGTGTGCATTTTTTTTTTTTAAAGAGTGAAAGTCCTGCAGGAGTATCAAGGCAGCCTTCAACAAAAGGATCAAGGCAACGTGCCAGACCCAAAGGAGAAGGTAACTAGAGGGAGGATATTATTTCTATTAAATATGCTGGAAGGTTATTGAATAGGAATAGCATAAATACTTAAATATCTGTGTTTATTATTTTCAGGGCTTGTTTTATACTCCCAGTCTGCATTTATGAATCCAATAGGCAATTTTTCTGCGTGGATTTGATACACAGAAAGTGATACTCAGTTCGGTTCGCTTGCATTCCTCATGCACAATTGAAGATATAAATTCAGCCTGCTCTTATATTTATTGTGTTCTCTCTGAATGGGATTTTTTTAGTTGGTCTACAACTATTTCTGTAAGTTTCATAAGAATTGTTTCTTTGCTTCATAATCTAGGACATTCAGACAAACATGCCTTCCAAAACTTTAGGAGGCTTTTTTTTTCCCTGTCTCTGAGGATTAGTGGACAGTATGTCTGAGTTGATAAAATTATTGCATGTTACCTTTACATGAAGTCACATGTAAAGGTTTGTTAAATGTTTACAGCAGAGCAGTATTTTTCTTTAGCAAGACTTAAGATATATTGTTTGAGGTTGTTTTAGTAAGATGGAAGACATTTATGAGGCAAGAAATTACTGGTGGTGATGATCACAGCTTTCTCTATTTTCTAATATCAACTGGAGAGAAATAAATTCTACAATAGGAGAACACACAAGGGCTAGTGTCATGACTAAACTTGTAATAAATAAAACTCAAGTGGTGAATAGAGGACTACTTAAGCAAAACCAGGTATATTTGCTATCCCAGTAATTAAAACAAGTTACACGAACATTTGCTCACCATTAGTACAAACAAATTCCTAATAGTATTGGAGCAAATGTTTTAGGTTTGTTTTTTTTTTAATATAGCTAATGTTACATTTGTTACTACTCAGGCAATGACTGCTTTTATAGCTGCAACATGCCTTGCAGCAAAACTTAGTTCATGCAGTAGAGACCATTTTTGCTAATTTAAAATTTGGTTGATAAATTGAACGTAGTTTTTTTAAAAACTTGTAGTTGCTCTTGATTGAGATTTGAACAGGTTTCCTCTCAGACACTGCATTAGTCTCTAAATGAAAATGATGGAGTAGAGTGTGTCACTTTCCACTGTTGGTTTGGCTTTTCTGCTAAGCTCCAGACCTTATGGGTAACTTACAGCCCTGCTGTATAGGCTGCTGATGAGTGTTCAAATACTTGTTTTGTTTTTATTAAATGAGAACTCATCCTGGCCTTAGCCAGCACAGGTAAATGAAAGTGCTGGTTGACCTTTCTCTTCTGTGTGTTAATGCCTTCCTAAACTAGTAGAACTCAGTATTTCATAGAATCAGAGAATCCCAGAATGGTTTGGATTGGAAAGGACCTTAAAGATCATTTTGATCCACCCCCCTGCCATGGGCAGGGACACCTCCCACTAGCCCAGGTTGCTCAAAGCCTCATCCAGCCTGGCCTTGAACCCCTCCAGGGATGGGGCATCCACAGCTTCTCTGGGCAACCTGGGCCACTGCCTCACCACCCTCACAGGAAAACATTTCATTACAAAATCTACCCATTCTGTACATATATTGACAAACTGAATAGTTTAACTTTTCTTGACCACGTGTGTTCAATGCACAGGGATAATTTTCAGGACCGATGTACAAGTGGTGCTGAATTGTTTTTCCTTTGCATCCCTTCGCCCTGCATGTCTCTTCTCTCTGAGCAGATAATTTAGAAATCAGATGTATACCTGAATATTTCAGCTTTCTTCCACTGTGTGTTATTTTGCTTTTGTCAACTTTGTCCTGTTGTAACTGGGGGAGTTAATTTAAGACAATTGGTCGGTGAAATGGTCTTTAATTTTTTTGCAAGAATAAAACTGGTTTTGGTGGCATCAAAAGTGAACAACATTTGTGGACTAGGCTCTTCTATGGCATTACAAGCAAGTTGTGGAGTTCAGCTACCAGAAATCAGCTTTTCTTGCTTGAAATTTCTTAATGGCTTTAGTATGAAATGTGTTTAAAGCTAGAGCCTTTGAAACAAACCAAAGTGCATTATGCATGCCAGGGAGTATACAAACAATATTGCGTATTTTAGCAACTGCATAGACTTTATTAGGTAAATATTGTATTGTTTGACCAGCTATCAGGCTAATAAATAAGATTTGTAGGTCATTTCTGAATTGAAGATGATGACATTAGTTTGCAGTAACATAAGGAGTTCAATCAGCAGTGAACTTCGAATGTTATTTATTTACACTCAAGATGGTTTATTAAACTAGAGTAGCCTTAAAGAAATAGTAAGTGTAACAGGTATTTAGCATGGCTTTTTATTTTAAATTTTTATTTTGTCTTCCATTTCATTTGACTATAAACCATTTTTTTATAGGAACCGTGGAAACAAAGAGTGTGGCAGATAGGATTTCAGAGGACAGTGCTGCTAAACTGCAAGAGCAAGCTGAACCAGTGCTTGCAGTAAACCAGAAAGGTAGGGAGAACAAAAACCTGACTGCCTTGGAAAGTCTAACTTGAGTGCTTCAGGGTCAAACTTGAATCCGTGCAGCTAAATGATTTAAGGAAGGTGATTTACACTTAATCCAAATGCTGCCTTGTATTTTAATTGCATTTTGTGATTAATGTCCTGGTTTGAAAAACGTACGTTCCCTGATAAAGCAGTTACTTGATATTCTCTCCTTCCTTACTCTTATACAAGTTTTCAAAGAGGCCAATGCTTACAGTGTCCCAAGGAAAATGCAGGGATGCTGTGCCTGAATCCCTTGGTGACTTGTTCTGTGTAAGAACTGAATCACTTTACGTTGCCTTTTTGTACAAGTATTTGAGAGTCTCCCTTAGTGTTTGCATTTTACAGGATTTTAGGGGAAAATTCCATCTCTGCATTCTTATTTCTCAATTTTTTTTTCGAGTTGTATATAGCTCCCAAGACATAGGTTGTTAATGAGGTATTTGTATCCAGCTACAGAATACATGGAGCCATACAAGCAAAATGTAGGAGGAAGAGCTGAGATTTCACCAGAAAGCTGCAGTTTTGTTTTCTCCAGATCCAGATGCTTGACCTAGTTGGGAGAGTCAATACCGTTTATATGGGAGGTCAAAGGCTGTTTCCCAGTCCACCTGTGGCCTTCGGGGCCTCGTAGCTGTGTCAGTCTAATGAAATGTAGATGGTTGGCCAAAACATTTCTGTGACCTTATCGCAACTGGGAGAACTTCCACGCTATTTCCTTTTCATCTTTTGGAGCTGGTTTGTCTATTGGAATGTATCTGTTATGAAAGATAACTTTTTATTCCTCTATTTCTGATTTGGGTGTATGCAAGAAGAGTACCCCCAGGCTCATTATTGATTTCCATTGGATTCTCAGCTGGTTTAAGAACCAAATATTTTATTGACTGTTCTTTGTTTTCAGCTTTGTTCAAGAAGATAGTGTAATGTATTGGTGCATTAGTGAATCTTAGTTTTCTGTAAGTTCTTATAGAGATGAAATTGTCATACATGTAATTGCTTTCATAGTTGGTATGTACAATCAGTTATGACAGTCATTGCAGATTGCTAAGTTGGATGCATATTTGGCAGTAATCATAAGTCAATGATGACCTGTCCCTTCTTGCTGTGTTCTTGTGTCTTTAGCTGCAAATGAGCGTTATGAAAGTTTCCAAAGGAAGAATAATTTATAGGATTTTAAAAGCATTGTTTACTGGCTGAAATAAACATAGTTACCTAGATCATTTGGAGTTTTATTTCTGCATTCTGCTTCAGTCTTATATTCGGAGCATTGAGGCTCTGAACCTTTTGAACCTTTCCATTGTGGGTTGTTGGTTTTTTTTTCTTTATAAATGAGGAATTGTTAGCATACCAGTTAATCTCCCTTGATGTCCTCCATTAGGAATCTTCACTGGCTAGTTCATGGCAGCCTCTTAAATAAGAAGTACGTCGTTAAAGCTTTCTGGCAAAAGAGTGTTTTGGCCTGCCTCAGCTATTTGCTCAAACACCCCTGAAGTTGCTGAGGTTCCACTTTCATTAGACATGTGCACATAAATGCACGCATTGTGGCTAGAAAGGAAGGAAGAACACTTGCACTTCATGGTCACTCCATAAAGTGTCAGCCTGCATGAGGCTTTGACAGAAACTGATGACGATTTAAGATCGTTCTGAACCTTGTTGAATTCTAAAATGAGCATTTTGGGAAGGTTCACTGGCGCGGTTTATCTTCTCAGAGTTTTGGTGAGTACATTGGGAGGAGTAACGCCAAGCTTCTTTCTAAAGTTTATCTCCCAAGTTAACCCTAAGATGTTGTCATCATTTAGTTGTGCCATCGCAGCTACCTACCACCCATCTGCAGAGAACTGGCATTATATGTAAAATATGAACGTCCTTTCTGCCAGCTTGGCGGAGGGCCTGGGACAGCAGTGTCTTAAACCCAGTGTCACTGATCCACTTCTTCAGGCAGTGTATGAAAGTCTGAGTGCTTTTGTGGTGGCACTGCCAGTTTACACTACTGGGGGGGTTTAGGAAACTCTGCTTAGTTTGGCCAGTGCCCTTTGAAGCATCCTTGAAAGTCCTTTGCAAGATGCTTAGGCATTATCTCATTTGCTTATGTAGCTGGCTTGTGATAGTGTTTGGTGGTTAATCGTGTATTACATTTATACTCCAGCTAACCCCAGTGGAATTAAATGGAAACTGGGTGTTGAGATTGCTTGAAAATCCCAGTCGTTGCCCTTCTGCAACTCCAGCCCTACCTTTGGAGTAGGTTAGTTAGAGAAGAGCTGAAGATAGTTCTTCCACAAGGTTTTCAAGGTTTAGGGGGTGCTTGGGACTACTTAAAAAATAGTAATATATTCTGTGAACTGCTGCTGAATTTCCTCTGGACCTTTAACTTTTGTAGATACTTGCATTTCTCTGCCTAAATTTAAGCTGGTAAAAGCCCAGCTTTTGGCCTTTTTTCTTTCAGTGGTGGCATTCGCTGGTGATTTCAGAGCAGAGGGACACTGGAGTGAAAGGAATGGTGTTAGAGGAGTCTTTGCTGTGTGTGACGTTAGATGGAAGAAATACATACCAACAGATTACTCATCTGAGCAAGCTTTCTAGGTGGAATCTGCGAATAGCAAATGCTTTTTACCCACCAAAATTATTTGTATAAGTGCTAAAGGAGCAAGAGGTGAATGATGTCCATAACCCTGCGGGGTTAGATTGTCAAGGCCAAGATGTCCTGCATCTTGTTCTCTGCTATTCTAGAGAATGGTCTGACCTGGGCTTGGCAGGTGTGGGTTCATGTCGGTAACCACACTGGACCCATCAGAGTGACTCAGGGGGAAACCTATCAACTGGGAAGGAGTGGTTAAACTGGTTCTGTCTGATTTAAATAGCAAATGGGGTCAAACCTATGGAGAGCATAACTATGGTGGGATTACAGAAGGAGCCCTCATCCTCGTATTGTAGAATCCTTCATGTTGAAAGGGATGGACAGATGGAGGTCGGCCAGTCCAACCCCCTGCTCAACTCTGGGTCAGCTAGAGAAAAATCAGAAATAAAGGTAAACAAAAGAAAGGTTTTAAAAAAACCCAGCCTAGAGAATATAGGGGGTTTTAATATGGTTTTTCCTCTCATGATTTTGGATAATGAGCAACTTGAAATATTCCAAATGTTACTATGCAACTATGGAAGAATTGAGTGAGATGATGTCATTTTCGTAGATGAGGGAAGCTCACAATATTGAGAGAAAAATAAAAAATAAAGTTCAAATGTTTTTTCAGTGTTCTCTTTGAATTGTGAATGCTCAGAGATGTTTAAAAACTGGAAGTTCACAAGATGTTTGGCTTTTATATAATCTTATAGAATTTTGTTTCTAATTTAAAACATTTGTCATGGGATGTGTTTTGTGAGCACACGTTCAAGTGTACTGCTGTTAAGATTCAAAATACTGTTGTAAGAAAAGTTTGATTTGCCTTGCAAGCTAAGCCAAAATTGTGTGCTTGTTTCATTTAATAGAAGGAGAAGCAGAGAATGTGGCTCCTGAAAAGCCTGCAGTGTCTGAAAATGGTGAAGTACCTAATGATCTTCCACCTCAGCCCATCCAAAGGTTTGTTCCTGTCCTTTATTCTGTTTGAATTAAAACTACGATGTGTTTGTAGGTAATACAGTCAGGCCGTTTGTAAACAGCAAGGAAATTTGGAGCAGTATGTGTCTGCTAGTGGTACCAAATAATAAATATTATCCCATGTATGGTTCCCTTTATTCGCTTTCATTTCATTCTGTAAAGAAAACTTGAACATTGTGAAGTGTTTCAGACTCTTATTTTCTTAATCCATAAAATGCTCCAATGTAATGTTACTAAAATATGAGGGACTTGTGGAGAGGCTAATAAGAGGAACATTGTGTTACATGCACAAATTTCATAAGTATGATGTTATGGATAAGATGAACTTGTCTTACTTTGCCCAGTGAAGGCTTGTGTAATTGTATCACTTGTGAAAATAAGTTTTTCTGTTTACATTGCAGTGTGTGCTGTTAATGCTCAATTTGTTGTTCATGGTAAATAACTGTGCTGTTTACAGGCTGCTCTTTTAGTGAGACAAGAGGTGGTTCTACATAAAATCATAATTTTTTGGTTTACGACACATTTTCTAGATTTTCCTAGACTCCTTCTAGTATAGAAAGTATTGTGCTGTTGGATTGTATACTGGGGATGTTTTCAGTGGTTTTATGCATCAGCTAATTTATTCAGCTCGTGTGTGTACCTGTCTGTTCCTTCGGAGGACACGTGAGGCTTGCTTTTATGATATAAATGAAAAAGCCTATTTTTTGTTATTGCAGACATATTCCCCGTCCTCTCAGTGCAAGACCAGCACCGCCCCGAGTAAAACGTCAAGAAAGCGCAGAGGTCTTAATTCCAGAAAGGTAAGGAATGTGGAGATGCAGAGAATATGTTTCTAGCTCTTGTGCTGCAGTATTCTCAGATCTTCTGTGCCTCACCTCAAAAGCCTGGGGATGGATCATCCCACTGCTCATTGATTCAGAACGGAAAATTCAAGCTTACTTTATTTATTGTTTCTGCAAATCCAGTACATTACCTAAAAGCTGGGAGTCACATCTGGAAGTTCAAAAATATGATTTTTTTTTTTTTTTTTGCCTTTGTGAACTCTGAAACAGATAACACTAGAACATTAAACTACCACTAGAAGAGATCTGTAAAACATGGCGTGAATATTCCATGTTCAAAAAAGGCTGAAATAGCCATTTGAAACTATGGACAAAATGGCTCATTTGATCTCTGATAAATGGCAGTCACTGAAGGAGTGTGTTGAGAAGGAAAATATCCATCCTTTTGTGAGAGAGGGGTGGCTGACTGTTTTCAGGGTTGGGCGGTGAAGGGAAATGACAGAATTTGATGTGCTTTTAGTTGATGCTGCTTTATTTTATGGGAGAAGGAAGGGAGGGTACTGCTCTCTCTTCTATTCTGGCTAGATCTTAATAGGTTTGGACAGATCTTAATAGGTTTTAATTTTCATTGTGTCTCTTACAGGAGTGGTAGTGGTAAAACCGTCTCAAACGTGATCATAGACCAGCAGATTTCTGATGATGATGATGACCAGTTTGTGGTGGAGGCAGCACAGCCACTGCCAGAAATGCCAGAAAAGGAAATGGTCTGTTCATGTTGCAAATTGTAGAACCTTTTTCCATACTTTATTTGTAACGTACTTGTTTAAGTAGCTTCTAGATGAATATTTTTCAATAGCTCTATATTATAGCAATGACAACTTTTTGCAACTAAAGCTCTCTTCCTGCATGTGTAGGAGCCAGAAGTGGAGCTGGTTGAGGATGAAAAACATGGTACGTGTGCTTTTATGTATATTTATATATATATATAAAATAAAATCATGGGTTTAAACCAAATTCTGAACACTTAAAATGCTGAATAAAGCAGCAAAATACTTCCTGAGTGTAGGAGCTTGCAACTTTAGCAAGAAACACAGAAATTATTTATCAAATGTAGTCTCGTTTAGTTGAGCAGCTGGATTTGCAACTGATGTTAAGTATGGATTTTCTATACATCTTTAATGTCAGCAGGATTTAAAAGGCTGCATAAAAGTCATAAATTAATGTTTCTTTGAGTGTCGGGGACAGCTTGTCAGGTCTGAGATATGAGGTGGTATTGGCTGTTCAAGGCAAGTTACAGAAATGCTTTTAGAAAAATGGATGGACAAGTTCTTAACAACGTTTATGTGTACTTGTGACCTCAGATCTCTGATGCAGGGGCTTCCATTATGGATACACTGGATGTGATTTAGGCAGATATACTTATCTGCATCCAAAGATTCCTAGCAAAGGAAGACATATATCTGTCTACATACCTATCACATGCTGTTTCTAAATTCTTCCTAAAGAGGAGTGCAAAGGAAAAGCCTTTGTGTTAATACAGCTGAAGGATCTGGTTCTGTACCAAGAGGCATTCAGTAAATGATACTGATGATACAGTTTGATTTAGAGGACACTGGAGAAAATAGATCAAATAACAAATGCCTGTATCCTAGTAACTACAGTACATAATAGAATGTTATTCATGTTGCTCTAAAAATTATTTACATTTGAAAAATTAAGCAGTTGGGTTTGTTTTTGTTCTCTGAATGTTTAAAACAATATTTTAGTGACAACCAATGCTGAGAAACATACTGATTTTCCCACAGGTGGGCTAGTAAAAAGAATCCTAGAAACAAAGAAAGATTATGAGGCATCACAGAAATCATCAACGATGACAGAGAGGGTAAGATGGTAATGGCCTTCACAGAACTGTGGATATTAAATATTGTAATTCTGACCTTTTTCTCTGCCTTAAATGCGCTTTTTCTATTTATGATCAAGCCTTCCTTCTTGATGTGTTATGCTGCTTTTTTTTCTCTATTAGTCTGTCAGATATTGTTACCTTCTCTGTGTAATCCTTTCTCTTTCTCACCTTTAATTTTTGTGGTTTGGGGTTTTTTTTTTTTCAGTATTTCAGTACAATTTTTCAGGCAGCCTTCTTTAGCCTATTCTTTTATTCTCCAGAACAAGGTCTGTTGTTTTCCGCCCTGCCCTAGATGTAGTAGGGCACACTGCGTGCTTGTACAGCTGCACCCTTCTTGTTCCAATCTTACTTGTCTTCTGGGCATTTGAAGAGGAGTATCTTATTGCCCAGCAATCATTATCATTGTCTAAAAAACAAAAACAACCCAGGATCTCTGGTGCAGTTAACCATATAAAGTATTTTCCTGTCACCATATGTTTCCTTAGTAATGTCCTAGCATACCCCAGGATTCATTCATCTATGAAGCGATTTGATTTGATTTGATTTGATTTTTTTCCCCTATCGGTAGCTGGGAAAGGGAAGTTTTTCTTGTTGCTGGGTGGATTTTGTTGTTGTTTCGTTTGTTTGTGGTTTAGGGGGGGGGGGTTGTGTTTTTTGTTTGTTTTGTTTCATTTTGATCGCTTAGAACAGGTCTAGCAGTGGTCACAAACCAAAAGCAAAAGGTTGACACTCCCTGATTCCAGTGTCTTCCTGTTACAACTGGAGAGCTCTTGCTTTTTCAGCCTTCCAAAGCTCATGTTACAAGAAGCAGTGAAAGCCAGAGCATTTTAGATGGACTTTTCTGATCCATTGTCCCTTTGAAAGTTTCTAAATCACAGAGCAGTTGGATGTGCTGGTGAGGAGGCACTGAGGAATGCAGTGCACAGGACTATTGTAAAAACACAGACAGGTGTATAATGTTTTTGAAAAGTGAGTGCTTTTCATGAACTCTTAAGTCTTCAATTCCAATCACATCTTCTCATTTTATTTTTAATGTTAATTCAGTATTGTAGGCTTTTACTACTTGATAATCTTTTTCATGAATGATCCATAGTTTGGCATACTGAGATGCTGCAACTCAGACCTCAGGAGTCCACCTTTTCGCAGAGCATCAAGCTCTTTCAAATAGCTGTCTGAAATCAGGAGTGACTCGACCACTTGACTGCCTCTTTGGGCTTTCTCAGCTATAGTAATTCAGCAATGAGTAATGATATTATGATAGGGTATGAGCAAAAAAAAAAAGTCCATGAGGGACTAAAACCATGGTAGACAGTAGACTGTTTTAACAACCTGGTCCTATCTAGAACTTGTATGACTTTCTAATCGCCTCTGCAACCTGCAGGAAAAGTGATGCAGTGTTAACTTTTAGGATTGGAATTTTGAAAGGGTAAAATTAACAATTCTCTCCTCTTAAAGAGAGATACTCCCACATGCTTTTGTGTCCAGTGGTAATGGGTTACGCTGCCATACAGACCAGCCTTTTCATTTCTCCCCCAGCAAGTTGAGGAAGTGGGGAAGGCAGATCAGACCCTTAGGGAGTATCTTCCAATCTGAAGTTTGGGACTGTCTGAAATCCAGGCCTGCTTGGCTGGAAGAAAATTCCTTTCATGTATTGCAAGGGCTGAGGTTAATGAAGAAAATGAATCCTCCTTCAAACAGGAAAAACACCTTTAGTTTCCTGCTCATAATCCATTATGAACAGTTAAAGCTTCCTCCGACTTGCTGAATGCCATACCGTTTATTATAAACGTGCAGCTCGTAGCATCTGTGCACTGATCATTGAAAGACTGTTGGCTGTTTCTAATGAATATTTCTGATGTGAAAATTTGCCTGCTTGAATAAATTCTGTCTTTATTTGACCACTTGGAGCAAAGAAGGGGTAAAAGTTGGTATTGCTCGGTTTAGTAGCGTTTATGGTGGCTGGAGCGCACATTGAGCTGGCACTTGTGAGAAGTACAGCTGGTCCTGTTCCTGGTTTTTTAACTAGGTGGTGCTGTTGAATCGTCAGTCTGGAGACTAAGTTTTGGTAGTAGTTCATTTCAGTATGTCTTCCGCCAGTAGGTAATTGTGCTGTAGGCTATACTCTTCGCTATTGCGTCCTGTCAACTGGAGCACTGGACATAGAAAGGGACAATGGGGGAGCCTTTGCAAAACCGCATGGATTTCACACTCGGGAAGCTTCCTCTGGTGTTTGTGCTAAATTTTCTGGGTTTTTTCCTGAATAAGAGTAACTATAACAATTCCCTTTTAACCCCTTAGGTTTTTTTTAAATGCATGTGTACAATTGTGTCCTTCTACAATAAACATTTAGTCCCAGTGCCCGTTTTCAGTCTCTAAAACGTTCATTCAGTCCTTGTTTGTCTTTTGTTGCATCTTTTGAAGCAGCTGTGTGTGTTAGCAGCACTGATAATAGACAACTAATTCTGGAAAAAAACGTGCTGACTTCCTAGTCCATCACGTGAAAACTTGCATAGAACGCTAAGCTCCTGGAATATCATCTGATCTCAGATCCAAGCAGCTGGCTGCTACTACAGTAGGTTTCTTTGCTGCTACTGCTTTTCAAATTATATTGAAGAAGTCGCTGCGATCCAGAGAGGAGAAGTGTAGTTTTTCTGACAGCAGAGGAAAAAAATCAATGGAAAAGATGATTAAAAATGCTCAGGGTTAGTGACTGGGACTTGACAGATGTAGTTCAGAAAACATGAGCTGGAGACATTACTGAATCCTGGGAATTTATTTTAGAGGGTAGAGACACTGTGACGCAGGGAACAGTAAAAGTAAAAAATCCATTTCCAATGTGGTGTTGCCTTTGGGAATATTTCAGTGACCAGCGACACAGAGGGTAGCAGGTGGGGGTCTGGCACGCCCGTGTGGCCCTAGCATCATGAGCATGGTTCATCTCTGCGGGATGTTCCTAACATCAGGAGGAAGGCAGCGGCAAGGACTTTTTCTTGCGAGACTGCAGACCAGCAGTTTTGTGAGGATGAGTTACTGGTCTGTGGAATCTCTTTGGAGAGAGGCAGCAAAAGTAATTAAAAAGAAGGAAGAGTTTCAAGTGGCTTATTCCTGCCAAGTGGTCTAGGCAGGCAAGTGGAACCACGTCCTGTTGATGGGACCGCGAGAATGGGTCGCTGAATTCTGGCCAGTGTGCTGGGTTCAAATGGCTGTGGGTTTTGTGCCAGGTCTAGCTCTGCAGTCTGCTGGGAAGCAGTATCAGTCTGAGACTTGACCATTTCTCCCCAGACTGTCAGCTCTTTTTATTTAATTTGTTTTCCATCAAACTCTCCAGAAGAAATATCTTCTGCATCAGTATGCAACTGTATTCCAAAATGTATTATGCGTTGGAGAGTGAAATGTCGTCGTACTTCTGTATTCTGGAGTAAGGTAACCAAAAGTCCAGGGAAAATTTGAAAGAATACTTGCTTTGGGAAATTACATCTGATGACATGAAGGTTTTTCTGGGTCTGTCAGTTAGAATGTTCATCTTCCCTCATTTTGTTAAACTGCTAAAATAAATGAAATATTTTCCTCATTATATTCATTAGTCTTTAAAGCCTTATTCTTCTGCCAGTTGGGAAAATGAAGGAAGAAAAAAATATGTTTTTAGTCTGAGTGCTGGAACTTTTGGCTAATACTTCATTAAGTCAAATATTCAGCAATAAATTGATTAATGGATCCACCTGATTTCTTACGGATTAATCAACTAGAAATTAGGTGAAGTTGGTGAATTAATACTTAATCCAAATGTAACACTGGTGAACTCTTGGGGATGTTTCACACCTTTACTTCGAACTGCTGACTGCCAAGGAGCACTTACTAGTGTTTAAAAGCATTCCTCTGAAATCTTTTATGTGCTTCATTTCTCAAACATGCATTTGCTTTTTGAGGAGTTTTAATAAAGAAAAAGAGGAGAAAAGGAAAGAAAACTGGGACTTTCACCATCAAGGTTTTACATGTGCAGAAACTTAAAATAATATACACGATTTTCAGGTCAAACAAAGAGGTCATTCTGGAAATACACAAGATTTTTGCTGCCTTGATTAGCTGTGTTCAGCCTAACAAATTCCTAAAAAGACTTCCTAAATGTATTTGTTTAGAATTTAACCCTGTAATGTTAAACAGAGAATGAAACAGATGTTACATTTTGTATTCCACTTCATTTATTTGATGTGTGGAAAACGTAGGCAGGTTATTAAATAGTTTAAGCAAGTGGGACCACAGAATTCCCATCTTTGCACTACCAAATGCAGGTCACAGGCTTCAGAAAAGAAGCAGCTTTGAGGTTTCTGCGAGGAACAAGTGATATGAAATAGCTTGGCACCTGGATAATATTAACTCTAATTACAAATGTGAAAAATTAAGTACGTACTTCTAAGCTTAGAACAAATACAATCATTGCTGATTCTGTTTGTTTAAAGTTCTTCAGGTCATAGCTTTTTACATTAATCCATCAGCTTCACGGCATTGGGTATCCCCTCCAGTCTGTGCAATTAGTAACGTGTCATGTTAACCAGCTGTATTTGTATGTCCCACCAGTTAGACATTTTGAAGAGGCTCACCAGTCAAGACCACAGCTTCTCATCTTCCTGCCAGCTTAATATGTCCTAAGAAATGCTGCCAGTGAAATTTAATAGCAGTTACCTGCAGAAAGACTTTCATCTTTGTCTGACAGCTCTGTTTATGATGATGTGACGCTAATGTAGTGATCTGAATAAAGCTGCAGTGAGACATTTCTGGTGCAAGCATGCAATTTCTGAAAAATAAGAACTGTACGCAGCAATCTGGTTAGGGACAAGCATCATAGGAGCTTAAATTGAATGAGTGTACAGGTGAGTGTGCTTGTTATGCTACTGCCAACTCTCGTGAAAAAACCTGTGTTAAAAAGCCATGAACACAGGAACAGGATTTTTGTCACTCTTGTGATATTCCTGGGATCGTGG